TTGCACAATTAACTCACTTCTGGTGAGAAAATATTTCTTTATTGCATTGTTGCACAATTAACTCACTTCTGGTGAGAAAATATTCCTTTTATTGCATTTTTGCACAATTAACTCACTTCCGATGAGAAAATTAAAATTCAAAAAATTTCTACATTTGACAATGTCTTCAAGATCATTACAAAATTGTTACATATACAAATTTATAACATTCACAGAAAATTATACAATTTCACAAAAATTCTCTTTAATAAAAATTCAATTTTTAATCGATCTCTTTATCCGTATAATCAATTAAACCAAATTGAAGAAGAAGAAAAAATGACCAACGCATTCAAATACACGTATTACCAATGAAGAGAGAAAAAAAAAATTGTAACAATAAACTTTAGAACCCCATAACCTAATAACAACGGCGGCTCTGATACCACTTGTTGGGATAAAATTTCTTAAGCCAAATAGAAATTTTCCATTAATAAAAAAAATATGAACCGTTGTCTCAGATTACAGAGTTAATGATAATAACACGTACTTGTATCCATTAACGTTGATCAAAAGGTTGCAGCGGAATAGTCTTTTGGTGCAATGATCTTCCTCAGCCAAATCACTGGATTTCTTGATGGGACTTGATGTTACTCTTCTGATGGGGAGACAGAGAGACGTGTGTTTCTGATTTGGCATATTGGGACCATGACCATCTTTATGATTTTAAACCTATTAGGGTTCCCATTAACCCCTAACGGGCCAAATCTGGTTTCCACTTATTTGGGCCCATATCAGTTTTCCCTGTTGGCAGTCTAAAGGCTCACTAAAATTAGATCACTTTTATTGAGTCCAACTAACTGTAAATAACTAATATAAATACTACAAATAATATATGTAACCCACAATAATTATTAGAAATAAAATTTCTAACACCTCACCCATGGCCTACGTCTGCATGCTGATACATAACTTGAGCTGGTAAATATTCATTCATTTATATATCTAAGTTTTGTTCTTTTAGGAAAAAGACATCAAAACCATAACATTGGAAGTTAAAGACTACGCATGCTTGATAAGGAATTGGTCTTGTTAAGGAGTGTTCTTTTAAATACACTAGTTAAGAATTTAATAAAAACATGTTTTTTTTTATTAAAAATTACGTTAGGAATACATTACAAAAAAAAATGAAGGAAAGGTGGATTAATAACATTTTTAATGAAAAAAGTTCTTTTGTAATTTCTTATAATTGGTTAGCATGCATTTGTTAATAAAAAAATAAGAGAAAATTAAAGAATTTAATTCAGTCAGTTGAGTTGGCTTCATGAGTTGTTGTAAATTCTGCATAGTGTATGATTCTCACATATAAAAAAATAATAAGAGAAACGAACAATTATTTGACGTCAAGCTAAATGGCAAATTTGTTGAATACTTTTAAATAATTTTTTTATAAATGTTAAAATGCAGCAATTTAAATCGTAATATTTTTATAGTATATATTTAAATAATAAATTATACAAAATTATTTTAATGAACATATATATATATATATTAAGTTTTGATTAATTTAGATATTTATAAACATATAATTTAATAATACACGTTTATTTGTTATAAATATTGTATGTAATGAATTATTAACTAATTTTAGATTATATAAAATTTTTGTATACTTGATTTATCCTATAATATTTTTAGTATAATATTTGCATTGATAACATCTAACGTTTATAAAAGAATAGTCAGAATTATAAGTTTTTGATGTTTTTCTTTCTGGATACAAGGGGTAAACAAGCAAAAGAAAAAGAAAAAAAAACTACTAAAAAGACTACACCCACCCATAGGATAAGTTTGTGAACTTTAATACTTAATATCAATATGTCTTAATAAACAAATAATGAAGTAAATTTTAGAAAAAAAGGAGCTTATGAAAAAGTTGTTTGTGTTACAAAAAGTTGCTTTATTGTTACAAAATTATTATTATTTACATATATTTTCTAACAAAAAATACAAAATTCTTCGACTTTTAGCTCCGACAGGGTCCTTGAAATAATCATATTAATTTGTTTATTTATTTTATATATTAATGTAACATCACACAGGCACAGAGTTTCCATGATTAAATAAAAAAACAGAAATTTCGCAGTCAGTACAAAACATTGTGAGTAGATGCTTGGTTGAGTGCCTTGTCCTAAACTATATCTCACATTTTTTTTGTCGTTTTTCTTTTGTTTTGTTTTTTTTTCGCTCAATAAATCAATAATTGTTTTCTTTAAGATTTTTTTATTTACTAACCAAAATACTTCCAAAAAAAAAATTGTGCTGAAAATAAATTTAAAAAATGTCATAATATTTTGAATACTAAAATTCGTATTTTCAAAAATCTTTAAAAATAAAAATGAGATCTTCTTATATATTTTGGTTAGGTTGTTACTTACGCCATTTTTAATCTTCTGGACTGAACTTGGGAATTTCAGCAAAATATGAGTACGCAGAATTTGTCTGGATCATGAAATATATAAATACACAATTTATTGAATTTTAATTAATTTCATTGGCTTTCTGTATGCAGATTGCAGGCTTTCTTGATCACATCGGCACATAATGATGACAACATTAATGTTAACCGTACTGGACGGATGTAGCTTGAGAATTGGTCAATTTTACATAAAAATAATCAAAGACCACATCCTTAGTTACTTGATCAACTAGGTTGATACTAAATATGACAAGGACAGATAATTGTATAATCTCATTGCCATTGTTACATAGAGAATAATTAGTCACTTGAGGAATGTACACAGTTTTGAAACTGATAATACTGAAGGAAAATTAGTTACAATCTGAGATGGAAGACTTGTACCATGTCAGTTTCAGTACAGTTGATGACAATTCTAGTTCATCCAGCGATATTTTCTGGGAGGGATTGAATGATGTGAAAAAGGTTCAATTTTCTGGAGCAGAAGATCAAGGAGAGAACGGGGGAATTGACTCACTTTACTCTGATTTTGGGTTCTTCCAATATGATCCATCAGAAGAAGGATATCTTGTATCCACTAATCAACAAAAGTATCAGCAGCTACCATCATACCATCATTACCATGATTATGGACAATTGGATAACCTTCAATTTGACATGGTCTCTCCACCACTCCAATTTGATGCACAATTTCCGACCATGGCTCCACTCTGTGACTCAACAAAGGACAAGCCTTACTCATCAGCCCCCTTAGCCTCACTTGAGATCTTGAAAAACTATGGCAAGGGCTTCAAGAGGTTGTGCAATGAAGGCCAAACCCTTCAGGCAGTTGATGATTTGGCTATGGCCACAAATGATGTTATTTGGAGAAAGCTCTCAACAGAAGACATCATGAGGATAGCAGGAACAAGGTTCATCCAATCATCATCTTCAGACTCAGAGCCTTTGCCTTTCTTGGAAAATCACCCTTTTGCTGCTTCTTTCTCTGGATTATCTGATGAAGAGAAAGAGGATGTGGCACTTGCTGAGTCCCTTTTGGCTTCTGCTGAGAAAGTTGGCTATCAACAGTTTGAACGTGCAAACAAATTGCTGAATCATTGTGAGTCATTATCTTGCAAAACTGGGAGCCCCGCTAAGCGAATTGTTCATTATTTTGCTGAAGCACTTCGCCACAGGATAGATAGAGAAACAGGAAGAGTTTCATCCAAGGATTTGCAAAAGGGTCAGTCATTTGATCCTGAAAAGGCGGCCAGGGAACTAAACCCCACTATTGTGGCATTCTATGAGTGGCTTCCCTTTTGTCAAATTGCACTCTTCACTGCAGTGCAAGCTATAATAGAAGATGTAGCTGAAGCAAAGAAGATTCACGTTATAGATCTTGAAATTAGAAAAGGGGGGCACTGGACTATTCTAATGCAAGCACTTGCGTCAAGACAATGTCCAATTGAGCTTCTAAAGATAACCGCTATTGAAACTGGAACCACTAGCCACATAGTTGAGGACACTGGTAAGAGACTAAAGGAGTTTGCTCAAGGTTTGAACATACCCTTCTCTTTCAACATAGTTATGGTATCAGACTTGTTACAGCTAAGAGAAGATCATTTTGAGATTGATCCTGAGGAAGCACTTGCTGTTTATTCTAACTATGCACTTAGATCAAGAATTCAGGATTCAGAACAGCTTGAAACCATTATGAGAGTAATTAGAGCCTTTAGTCCTAATGTAATGGTGGTGACTGAAATTGAGGCGAACCACAACTCTACATCTTTTGTAAACCGTTTCATTGAAGCCCTTTTCTACTTCAGTGCATTCTTTGATTGTCTTGAGGCTTGCATGAAAGAGGATGAGAACAGAACTATTATAGAATCATTATACTTCAGTTATGGAATCAGGAACATTGTGGCTGCAGAAGGTGCTGAAAGAAAGACTCGGAATGTGAAGATTGATGTGTGGAGGGCCTTCTTCTCACGCTTTGGAATGGTGGAGAAAGAATTGAGCACGTTGTCTTTATACCAAGCAGAATTGGTGGCTAAAAGATTTCCTTGTGGAAGTTTCTGCACATTTGATAAGAATGGTCTTTCCCTTCTTGTTGGGTGGAAAGGAACACCAATTAACTCTGTTTCTGTATGGAAATTCCTTTGAAGGCAAGTGCAATTAAGGATTTTTTGTTTCGTGTTGTTCCTTATCAATGTGTTTATCATTACATTAGCAATTCTCATCACTTGTTACCATCCCCGTTTGGTTAATGCTGTTCACTTGTGTTTACTATCAAGTATAAAAGAACTTTGTGATTGTGGGGATATTTTGCTATATTCATAATAAAGTTCATGATATCTGTGATTTAGTGTATTAGGATTCTAGTTTGAAATTATGTTTAATAGAAAAACATATATTTTAATATTAAAAAAAATTGTAAGTATAATTTTTTTTTTCAATCTCAATTGAATTAAATTTAATTAGTTTTTAAACACATTTTTACTTTATTGATTTGGTGTACAATATTTTTTTTTTGTTAGATTTAATACAACCTATTATTCAACTTGTGATAAATTACTGTTTGATTTAGTAACCTATTACTTAATCTATAACGGACCAAATTAGATGGCCTATTTTAATAGTTTTTTACTAAAATTAAATAGTATTTTTAAGTAGTATTTAAAAATATTTTAATATATCTAAACATGTTAATAAGAATGCTAAAGTATTCTTCCATTTACTATTATTTCAAACTAAGTTTGAATGCAAAATTCAGTCAAATTTTAATTTATAATTGAATCCAACTAAAAGTTAAATAAAAAGCTTTTTAGTATTACATTCTAATAAGACATTGGAGACTTCTCTATAAAAAATATACTCAACATTGAAATACCTGATTAAGGATACTTTAATAAATTTTACTTATTTTTCGTCACTATCCTTAATCTTCAATTGTTAAATATTGTATCTCTAAAAACTTTAAATATGAACATTTAGAATAATAAATATAAATAAAAATGCATGAATAATATTTTGTATTTCGATATATGTCATTATTTATCCTAATCATATTCAACTTTAAATTGATAGAGTTTGGTTCTAAATTTTGATAAGATAAAACTTTCTTAGTATAATCTTGACTACTTCTTAACTCCTAATATATTGTGGCTGTAGTTTAGTGGTGAGAATTCCACGTTGTGGCCGTGGAGACCTGGGCTCGAATCCCAGCAGCCACATATGTAATGCATTTTTAATGAGCCCTTTAATCTGATTCGAAATAAATCATCCTGTCCTGTTCGAAAATTTTAATTACAAAATGAAATTTTTTTTTGGTAATGAACAAAATGAGGTATTGATATTACTTTTACAAAATTTCTGGGTTTTTTTACAGTAAAACAAATTGTGGTTAAAACTCACAAAATTGAATTCAAATATGTCATCCTATTTTATTGCCGCTTACAGTTTGTTTAAATAGGAAATGAAATTGAGACAGAAAAGAAATAGAAAATAAGGAAATCAAATAGATTTTTTTATGGTAAAATGAAATAGAAATTGAAGTGAATATTAAGTTTATGTTTAAATCGGTGGTAGATAATCAAATAAATGGATCATAATATAATAAAATGTGATGGATTGGAATAGATGAAATAAAAATGTTATTTCATTTTTATGGTTAGTCTTTTACGTTGTTATATAGTTTGACTAGACACTTCAACTATACTATGTTTTATATGATTAGCTTGAATTGTTTCAATAACTTAAAATAAATACACATAATTTAGAAAGTCCTAAAATATATTTGTTACATGAAAAAGACAATCCAAGCTGAGTATTTAACATATCCTGTAATAATTAATTATGTATGAAGGATGTATGTCATTACATGCTCCCAAGTAGTATCCTCCGATTCTTATATATTATTCAATAATGATATCTCCAATTTTTCTTTTCAAGAGAACTCTTACACCCTGCTCTATTAGTGTAGCATGAATGTCTAGATTAAAGACTCTCCTGATATCATGAAACACTTGTAGCCTTTTTCTCATTGGAACCATAGTCCTTGTTAATAGAACTACTCTAATACCAAAATATAATACCCAAGCAACACTACTAAAAAAAATATTATTCAATATCATTATATTTACATCAATTTTGACGTAGAAAAAATTGTGATGACATTTTTATAATTAAATAAAAAATATAATTTTTTTTACAAGTAACACTATATATATAATTACTATATTTATTGCAAAAAAAATATTCATAAAAAACTAAAATAAACTTCATGCATTTAATTAAATCCAAATATACATTTGTAAACTTAAAAACATCTAATAGAGGTTCTTAACTTCATTCAACTAAAAGGTCCAGCCGAGAAAAACACAAAAGAAATCATTTTTACTTTTTGTTTCTTGATTCCTAGTTAATATGAAACATTTAATATAAACTAATAAACCTCACGTTCTAGACTTCTAATAGCTACACAATATCTCATGCACATCACATATAACAATTAAATTATGACATGAAAATTTTCATATTCTTTCATTAGTTTATATTTTGTTTCATTCACTTATCTATTCACTTATCTTTTCTGTCTTGATGACAATCATGAGTATACACTACAAAAAAAATATTATATATAGTGATATACAAAAAGTGTTATTATAGATATTATATATATATATATATATATATATTTAAAATATAATCACACATAATTTAAGTATTGATTTTAAATGTGATTTAATAATATATTTTATGTATCACTATAATTTATATTAAATTTTTTAAAAAATATACTAACATATATTATATTTAGTATATGAGTAAAAATATTTTTTCATAATACATATTATGTCACTATAGGATGTGTGTCACTATACAACAATTTTTTTGTAGTATCACAATTTCAAGGAGCGTACTCCTTACTTTTATTATACATCATCTGGGGATTTGAAGGATATAAACTCATCTTTGTCTAAGGAATACCATATACAGCTCTTTGAGAATTCAAAAGAAAAAATATTTTTTATCTATATAAAGGAGTATTAAGGAGTAGTTTAGTTTAGGAAAATTTTTTCTATTTTTATTTTCTAAAAGTAGTTTTCATTTTTGAATTTATAAAATTTAAAAAAAATGCTTGTTTTGAGAATTTGTTTTTTATTTTAAAAAATTAAAATTAAAAATATTTGTGAAAACAATAATAGTGATAATAACAATAATATTGACAATAATGATAATACCTATGGAGATGATAACTATTGTGACAACAACATATATGACAAAACTATCACCACCGCTATTATTGCTTCCAACATCATCTCTAATGTCATTGCCACCATGTCGCAACAACTACAGTGGTGCTAATGGAGAAAGTGATAATGTAATAATGGTGGTGTCACCATTATTGTCACAACCATTATGTATAGTAATGATAGTGATAGAATACAAACAATGTTGACAATAGTGACAATGATAATATGTTGACAATTATAATGTCGTTGCTAGCAAAGACGCACAATCATTGTTGCTATCGTTACCACTTTCACTACTATTACCATCACCACTAATAAAAAGATGATGTAATGATGAGATTCAACAAAAATATAAAAAAAAAATTTATAATTACAATTCATGTCATCACATTTTCGTTTTGTTGAAAAATATTGAAAATTACTTCTTTTTTTCAATTTTGGTTGTCATTTTGAAAATCATTATAAGAAAAATGTTATTTTTTCTACGAATTTTATCACAAAAAAATATTTGCAGGAATTTTTCGCAATTTTTATTTCAATAATAATTTCACAGAAAATTTTTATGAATTTATTAGAAAAAAATAATTTATAAAAATTTCTTACAAATTTTTTTATGAAAAATATCTACAATTTTTTTTCCAAATTTTCTTATGATCATAGAAATTATTTTTATAGTAAAAATTCGTAGAAAATTTTGTAAGAATTTTTTTTTTGTTTCTCACATATTTTCTTAAGAAAATAAATTTATAGGTAATATTTATTATTATTATTATTATAATAAATGACATAATTATAAAATTTAAAAATGAAAAGTATTTACTTAGCAAAATATTATTTTACTAACTTATTTATAAATATTTCAACAAAGTTAGTTTTAATTTAAAATATTAGTAAATTAAACATTTATTTTAATTAAATGTATAAATTAATGATAATGAGTTTTAATTTAATGAAATTTTTTAAAATAAAATTATTTAATAAAAAATATTATTTTTAGAATATTGAATATTTTAAGAGTTAATATAATTTATAATAATATAATTTTTTATTTTAATATGATTGAATTAATTTTCTTTCTAAAGACCTGGTCTAATAAATATTTAAGAAAAATCTTAAATCTCATATCGTTTAGAGATAAAAGAATTAAAAGATATATAAATGTATATAATACTTATCTTATAAGTTAATTATCTAGCATTAAGTTAGACATGTAATTTATATTTTAAAATGTATATAACACTTACCTTATAAGTTAATTATGTAGGATTAAGTTAAACATGTAATTTACATTTTAAAATTTTAAAAAATTATAAATCACATATTGGAGGCGTGGAAGTAATTCACGATATGAAGAAGATCTCCCATCCTTTGAAGAGATTAGTACTTTTTGTTGTTTAAAGAAAACATTTTCCTAAGTACACATCAAATCATCATTGAGAAGAAATATGCAAATTTATAGTAAAATTTTCTTATTGTTTATTAATTTATTTTGACAGCTTACGAGCGTTAATTTTGTTCACTAAGATTTTTAATATATTCTTCTGCATTATTTAAAACACAAGTTTTTCCCCTCTGTCTTTTCATAAAACAATTTGGCACTTCATAGCGAGTACAAAAGAATATAAAAAAGAAGTGTTTTGAAGAAGAAGAAGAAGAAGAAAAAGGTGGAAAAACGTGGCATCGATCAAACGATTTTTCTTGAGCAGGGGCAAGTTAAGTCAATCTTAATTGGTTGTTAGTCACAGATGCGAGTCTCCAAAATCCCATGCGTTGCGCTTACAATTGTCCAAAGTTATGCATGTTCTTAACGAATGCAGATTTCATTTTTGTGATTGTGGTATGTGAATAGAAGAAAGAGAGATAGAAAGAATAAATAAATAAATAAAAAGAGAAAAAATGATAATATCATAAATAATTACATGAAAAAAGAAAAAACAATTGATGTAAAATAAATATAATCCATCTATTTTATCAAATATTTTCGATTCAATTGGTTGATTTATATGTGTATGGATATTATAAACTACTTATAAACTACTTTAATGAACCAACATCCTAACATTATTGAATTACAACGGTTTGGTTACGA